GCAGCCCCTGGCGGGGCCGCCCCCGGGCCGCCCCCCAACCTGACCAGCAACCGCCGCCTGCAGCAAACCCAGGCCCAAGTGGAGGAGGTCAGTGGCTCTGCCGCCTTCCCCGGGCTCTTCCCCTTGTCCCTCTGCAGCCCGGCTGCTCCTGGCAGGCACCTGTTGCTGAGCCAGGGGGATGCTCTTGAAATGCACACCCCAAAAAAACGATGGCAGACTTGCAAAGACCCCTTACAAAAGGGGGAGCTCCTTGGTGTTTAAAAGCTGCTTAATTCCTGACGTGACTTCTGAGGAGCAGGGCTGTTGGGTTTTTTGTGCCTTGCGTGGTGCATCTGCTAAGGAAATCCAGCTCTGCAGCATCCAAAAGAAGCTCCTACCCCTTGCTGGCTGCTCCAGGGGGAGAGCCCGTGTGCAGGCTGAGTGTGATGGGGAGGGAGCAGTGCCTGCCCTGCCAGGGGCAGTGCCCGCTGTGCTGTAACGCCTTCGTGCCTCGCTGGGGCAGCAACATGCAGCTCTCAGTTCCCCTTGCATGGGTTTTTTTTTCTCTTGAGGGGGGTGGCTGAAGCTTGCTGGCTTGGAGAGCTCTTAAAAACAAGCGAGCATGTGGGCCTCAGGACCTGGTTTGAGTGGTTTGAACTTTAACAGGGGGGGCTTTGAACCTACACTTTAACAGGGGGGCTAGGATTTTGTTCCTTGACTTCAGAGCTGTTTCTTATGCTGACCTTTTTGCCTCGTTTGGGGGCTTTCAGTTGTTAGCATCTGGGTGTTACTGGCCAAGTTCCCCCCCCGCCTTGCTTTTTCAGCCCTGCTGCTGTTCTTCCTTCTGCAGGTGGTTGATATATTCCGTGTAAATGTAGACAAGGTGCTGGAACGGGACCAGAAGCTGTCGGAGCTCGATGACCGGGCAGATGCACTTCAGGCTGGTGCCTCACAGTTTGAAAGCAGTGCAGCAAAACTCAAAAGGAAGTACTGGTGGAAGAACTGCAAGGTGGGTTTCCTCATTTCGTGATCTTCCCTTCATTGGGTGAGTCCCCTTCTGCAGGGCTTTGAGAGGGTGGTTTGGGCTTAATAACTATTTCAAATGCATAGGATTCCTTTATTGTGCAAAGACTTGGAGGCCTTGGCTGTCCTACCTTCAGGGTCTGTCTTTATGTTCCCTGACTGTCAGGGAAGGTACTGTTGTAGCTACTCTTTGACAATCCATCTCTCTCTGTCTCTCCAGATGATGATCATGATGGGAGTGATTTGTGCCATTGTGGTGGTGGTGATTGTAAGTAAGTACTGAAAAGCCCAGGATCAAAGGTGAAGCAGCACGGACTTGAGAGTGCTTTAAACCTCCTTTTTGGTTTAAGATCTGGAGGGTCTTGGTTGCATAAGTGTTAACTTCAGTCCTTGGGGAAGGGAGGTGATGGTGCTGGAGCTCCCACAGTTACTGTGGAAATGGTTTGCTTTGCAGAATAAGGGAAGGAATTGGGGGTGGCCATCCTTGTAGGAATGGGAAGTTCTGTCTGCCAGGTCAGGTACACCTGTAAGTGTGAGGGGCATTTACCCTCGAGTGGGTGGGCTGGCAAGTCCTTCCCCTGGTGGGGGATTTGGAGGTCTCTGGGGACCTTTGGTGTAACTTCCCCTTTTGTTCTTTCCCTTTTTTTCCTATTGCTTTGTCTCCAGTTTACTTTTTTACTTGAATGTAGCTCCTTGAGTCTGCAGCCTACTGTCCCTGTCACCTTGCCTGTCTCTTCTTGCCCATGAATCTTCCCTTCCCTTCCACCTAGCTTTTTCATTAATTTCTTTATTGGTTTTTATTTGTCTTCTGTGTAGAACTCAAGTGCTCTTCTGAGCATGGGTAGACTCTTCAACAGCTGCTGCAGCTTTAGGGAGGGTCATCTGAGTTTAGAGGAAAGGGAAACAGAGGAGGAGTGGGTAGCTATTGCTCCTGTTCTCCTGCAGGGGATTTTAGTGGTTTGAGTGTGATCTTGTCAAACAGTGCCTGTGTGAACACTAGCAAAATAAGAATGCCTTAATGCAGTGCCTTTGGGGTGAAGGACTTGAGCATGTGAGATGTAGTGTTCTGCCTGAAAAGGGGCAGCATGAAATAAAGGCTAGTTTGTGTTGGTCAGTGACTGTGAGCCATCTGACTGAGCTAGGTAGTCATCTAGATTTCTCTAGCCATAGAGAGATGTGCACTTAAAGGAACAGTTTACTCTTCTTGTCCTTATTTTCAGATGACTTGCTGTCTGAACGTGGCCATTTCAGTTATTATAAAGGAGAGCCTAAATAATTACCTCAGTCAAGTGCAACAGAGTAAACATGGTTAAGGGAAAGGTTTGTTACTGTCAAAAAGGCATGTGTGGGAGCAAAATCTCCTGCCAGAAGGAAAAGAACAACAGTGAGGAGCCTGGTGGGAGGTGTCAAGTATTCTTTTAATCTATGCAGACATAAGCCAGGGCTCTGTGGCTTTCTACTATCTTGTAGCTTTCTGGAAGACTTTGGGGTCGTGGCAAGAGTGGGTGTGGGTGTTCTGCTTCTGTGTTTCTGGGTTGAACACCAAAGGAGGTCTTCTACGTGGCAGATGGAGGTGAAGGAGACTGGAGGTATTCTGGACAAGACTGAACAAGCCACACAGTTTTCTGATTACCTGTTCTGTTTCTGATGCTCTTTCAGCAGGAGTTAGGAAGTACTTGGAATGATTAGGTAGGGATTCAAAGGGAAATGTTGCTCTGGGCATGGGTATTACAAAGTGGTGTCAGATGTCCCTGTATGGCAGCTTTAGGTATCTGGAGACTTTGCCTATCAAACTGAACACCTCCTTGCTAGGAGTTCTCTTGAATTTAGATCCAAGGTGGTCTCTCCTGGAAGTAAACCTGCAGGCATGGAATGCAAGGGCTTTTTGTGAGCAATCTCCTGGTTCTCCTTCAAAAATAACAAGAGCTGTGGATTAATTGTGTCAATGTGTTGTCAAACCTGGGTTAAATGAGCTGCCCTGTTCCTCAGTTTCTGCAGTCCTCTGAGGAAGGTCAATCTTGTCCTCTACCAGCTGAGCTGTAGCCTGTAACCTAGATTGGAAAAAGGGCACTTTAATTTAGGAAGCTCTGCTTCAGTTCTAGACTACACTGGGATCTGCCTAGGCTTAAGAGAATGCAGGGAGGCAGGGGAGAACATCACTGGAGTTGCTGGGTGGCAGTGAAGTATGAAAGCTGGGAGAAGTAGATGCTTTTTATTTCATTGTGTGTCAGGGAAGCCCCTTTCCTCCTCACAGGGCATTTGGGAAGGGGCTAGGTTTTGCATGCTCACTTCCATGCCACAGCATTTCATTCGCACTGAGTTCATCTCCCTGCAATTCCATCCCTCTCCACCTTGGGTGAGGGCAGAGATGAAGATCTGGAGTGAAGCAGCCCTCATCCCCTGAGCACTTTCCTAATTCCCTGTGGAACTGAGATGTGATGGATGGTCAGAAGTGCATCTACTGAAGAGGAGCCAGGGCCTGCTTGTACTACTTACTTACTGCTGTCATTTTAGGGGGTGGGCATAAAAGCTTGAGTCCCCCAGACTAGCAACTCTCTTGAACTCTTTTAAACAAGCCTTTGGTGCCCCATTCCACCAGTTTCTCTGGGGCCTGAGGTCTCCCTAGGCTGTCTCTTCCATTTCTTTCTCTTAAATGTTGTACGTTGCCTATTCTGCTCCCTTTCCTTTCCTTTGTGTCTCTGCATGGGAAAAAAAAAATCACCAAGGCCCTCTGAATAAAAGCAAGGGACTCTGCTGTCCTCAGCATTACAGCTGCTCACACACGTGCAATTTATTTCCTTTCTCTGTCAACATGACTGTAATCTCCTCTAGCATGGTATAGTAATCAGCTCATGTACTTTAAATTGGTTCTCTAAGAAACAAAATTCACCACCTTCCTGAGTCTGTCTGGTCTGTCAGTGGGTGGGGAGGGGCTGGGATGTAAAACTCTTTTGGGGAACATCTCTTTTGGGTCACTTCCGTACTCTACACACCTGAAATTCTGGCCCTCCAAGTGGTGGGTAGTCTTCCATTGCAATGGTGGTAGTTCCAGTTGTACTGGAACCATGTGCTGGACTGACTCCCTGGTAAGTCTATAACAAGATTTATGAACCAGCAGCTCTGGGGAAGAGGCTGCTTAACCCAAATCTAATTCTGTCCACCTTCTGTAGAGTCACTGTGTAATGCAGGGGGAGGTGCTCCCCTGCATGGGAGGATGTCTTGCTGGTAGCTTCTAGTTTCTAGAAGTGCTGCCTTTGCATTTCAACAACCTATTCTCAGATCCTTAAACCTTGAAAACACTTCTGGGTTGGTGTTTGGACATGTGTTCATGATCCAAATTAAGATGTCCAAGAGTAGGGTGCTGTCCAAAGCATAGCTATAATAAAGGTGAGTGCTCCCTTGTTTTGCTTCACTGTACACCTGAAACTCATTAAAAAGAAATGACAGAGCTTTGTCCAGTGCAGGCTTATTTTAAAAGGAGGTCTGTGCCTTTATTTGCCCCTTCTATTAGAAACTTTAGCTTGCAAAACAGTGCTCCTTTTGGCTTGTGGTTCTCTTATGACCTGTCTTTGTCTAATCTCAGACATCACCAACATCATATTAGAATGATGTATAGTCAGTGGGAAATCTGGAGCAGTGCAGCCAGGCTAGTTCTTCCAAAGATGTGTCTTCCCAGGAAAGGAGGCTGTTGGGATGGGCTCGTGGATTAAAGCAGCATGTACAGTTTGAACCTCAGCATAGATCAGGCCTGCACAACCTGAACAGGCTGGTCATGCTACAATCCCTGCCAAGTTAGGTGTTGCCTTCCTGGTAGCTTTCAGCCTTGTCTATGTAGGGGGTAGGAAAAGTTTTGTCTTAAACCAGCTGTTTCCAGACAACTGACAACAGTCTCCAAGTCCTCAGCCAAACCTAGGGACTTGAGTGCTTACTTTCCAAGGTTGGCCAGCTGCTCTGCACCACAGGGCAGGGGCTGAGCCTGATGCTGAAAGTTGCCCCAGGTCTGTGGCACACGAGCCATGTGCAAGCTGACAAAACAGAATTGCATGTCTAACAATACATCTCCTAGGTGTTTAAAGTACCGTGCTCTGCTGGGATCTTACCTTCTGAGGTGCCATCCTTTGAGCCATCAGCACCTCTGCTGCTCCTGCAGAGTTTGTTATCCTGGGCAAAACATGGTTTTAAATGTGCACTGAACACAAGATCAAGGCTTTGGCAAACAGTAGCTCTTTAAAAGTACCAATAGAAATCCAAGCTCTGCTTTCAAACATGCAACTCCCATATCAACTCTTTTATCCTGACACTTGCAGATTTTATGGGGTCTCAACTCTGCTGCTCAGATGCTCCCAGTCCAAAAAGACAACTTGGTTGTGTCCTGTGACCTACAGTTGCTTCTTGCATGTTTTCCATGTAATCCAAATACCTGTTCTGCTGCTAACACCTGTGACTACTGAGCATTTATATCCCCTCAGCTTTCTCCTCTTGTGCAAATTCACACCAACACAGACCTTTCATTTCTCTTTTGCTGACTGATTCATCTCTCTAAATGCACACTTTCTCCCCTTTTCTCTAATATGTCACATTGTCAGCAAAACACTGTTTTCCCCACTCTCATTCCAACCCTGCTGGAATTGCCTCTTGTTTTCATCCAGGCTGAGCTCACTCTGCATCTGTTGAGCTCATAGTCTGTGGTCCTGTCAGCCTAGAAGTGTAGGAGTGTTGAATGGGCAATTTTTGCACTGATTCTAAGGATTAATCTACCAATTTGTATGTCAACTTCATGTTTGTACAGGCTTTTAACTCTGGATTCACAGCTACCCAGAATTGGGCCAGAACTTGGAGTTCATTAGTCAAAGCCCCCCCCCCCCTTTTTTTTTTTCTTCTTTTGCATTTTAACACTGACAGAAATGAGAAATAAAATTGTACCAGCTTCCCCTAAGGAATACATCACCTTCTACATCACCTTTTTTTATGATGTTGAAGGTAATTTAATGTTTCAAGTAGATATGCCTCTGATTAATCTTCCTTTAATTACCCACTTAACTATGAGTGTTGCAGTGGGTCACATCAATTTTATGATTATCACAAGGTACCATATGATGTGAAGAACTTTCTTACTCTTCGGGTATTCCAGAAAGATACTCAACAAATAAATCCTTGTATGTTTATTATATACAAAGATTGTTTGGGATGTTGCATCTGCTCTTTCTCCTTTCTTGATTTGGAGGTGGTTTTGTAAAGCAAGCAAGTCCAGTGTCAGATTTTGTTTTTCATGTGCTAGAAGCT